AAAAAAAAAAAAGATTACCAAAACCCTGTACACATATGGATGTTTTATAAGTAAATATTGGTCAAAGATAAAGTAAAAACTACAAAATATTTAGAACTGAATGAAAATGAAAGCATTGTGTACCAAAATCTATGGGAAACAAATAAAGTGAAATTTAAAATAGATCAAAACAAATTAACTAGGTTTTCAACTCAAAAAGCTATAAGAACAATAAGCTGAAATTAGCTGAAAATAATGAAATAAAATATAACGCTAATAGTAGCATATTAGAGATGCTTCTTTGAACAAACTTAATAAAATAGATAAATCTTTGACAATATGAAGAAGTGATAAAGTTCAAATACTGTCATGAATTTAAAGTGGGATGTAAACTCAGATACAGGGGAATATTGTCAACTTTGGTTCTCAAACTTAGTGTGTATCAGAATCACTCGGTGGGTTTATCAAAGCATAGATTGCTGGGGACCACACTCCAAGTTTCTGATTCAGTACGTCTTTGGTGGGGCCCAAGAAGGTGATGCTGTTGGGGCTGGTCCTGGGACCACACTTTGAAAAGCAATATGAAATGGATACTATCCATCACCAAATTTTGGCCATAAAGAAACAGAAGACCAAAACAGAGCAAAAACTGTGAAATTAATCAAAATGCTACTCTCATCCCTTCAAAATAGGCACCAAGCCTCAAATATGTTTATGGGCGAATCCTTCGTTCTCATTTTATACACAGTGTCGAGTATAGAAAAAGACAGAAAAATACCTGAGTAATTTTATGAGTTAGGAACTTCAATATAAAAACTGAAGAAAACACAAGAAACAAAGTTACATATCTCTGTCATTTAGTAATATATTTGCAGAAGGACCTGAAAATTGAATCAGCAATAGTATTCCAATAACAGTGTATCATGACCAAATAGTGTTTGTTTCAGGAAATCAAAGGTAGAGTTTTCTAATATTGTGCCACCAGTAATTTATCTCATTAAAAGTATACAAAGGATAAAAACCATATGATTTTAAGGGAAAAATAAGAACTCATCGAAGAAGGAATAGGAAGAATCCTGTCTAACCTTGGGCAAGTTGTTTAAATCCAATTTATTCCTTTTTTCTCTGTAACCTGGGAGGTAGTGATAGCCCCAACACCTCACGGTGATATTGGATGGATCAATGCAAGGAAAGCACTTAGCTGCTGTCACCTCTTTGTTAGAAGCAATATGGCAGTGACCGTGAATGGCTTTAACAGTGTGGTGCATGGACTGGTTGTAGTTCATAAACCTCTTGTACTGGTCAGTAATAAGTACAGAAATTGAAGCATTTAGAAATTTTATAGCAATTTCAGACTTATTTTATGCTGTTGGATAAAATACTGGTCCATGACAGATTCGAATTTAAGCAAAAACAGTTTCTTCATCACAGGAGTTTGAGAAGCAGTGCTTTGGAGTTAGATTGAAGGATATGAATCCTGGGCTTGATATTTACTAGCAGGTACCTTGGGCAGATTACTTATACTTAATTTTCCTCTACCTCAGTTTCCTATTTATTTAAAGACAACAATGGTACACATCTTTTAGACTTGTGAGGATAAGAGCCTGTGTGAATGTGTGTGTGTGTGTGTGTGTACATATATACTTATACTGAGTGTATACGTAGTTTAGGTCAGTGCCCAGAATAAACAAGTGTTCAATATGTGTAGCTATTAGCATGCCTGTTTGAAAATGGAGCACCTTACAGTTCAATGCGTTTCGGCTCCTAAAGGCCAAGGGCCCTGTAATCTTGATTAAGTAATAACCACCAAGCCCCATTCTCTCCTGCTGACCCTGCAGCAAATATTCTGTCTGATATGTGAGCTCTCCTCTCTGTCTTGGAGGGCATTAACCCTGAGTGTCTCTGTGCTTCTCTGATTAAAGTTGGACCCTTTGTTCCTCCAGGGGCATTCATACCTCGGTGTAATGAGGAGGGCTATTATAAAGCCACGCAGTGCCATGGCAGCACAGGGCAGTGCTGGTGTGTGGATAAATATGGGAACGAGCTGGCTGGCTCCAGGAAACAGGGTGCTGTGAGCTGTGGTGAGTAAGGCCTGCATCTGCCCCATAATGACCCTGGTGACCTGTGGGTCCTCCCTGTGTAAGGATCTAGGCAAAGGATTTCAAGAGGTAGCTCTGGTCTACGGTGAGTTTACAGTGGAGACATAGCCTGAAATCACATGAGCTCAAGCACAGGGAGCTTTGTGAGTGGCATGGACTCACCATGACCAGTAGGTCAGATGGCAGTTTTGGACAGTCAGAGAACTGTTGCAGGCAAAGAGCGACTTAGGCTACCATCATATTTCAGTTAGGATTATAAACTTCCTGAGAAGGTAGAAGCATCTCAAGAATTTTAGGGCTCGTATCAGAACAAAGTTTGTGGTCCATGCCACAGAGACTGAACCCAGCTGAGCAGAGATGCTCCCATGTTCAGAAAGTAAACTGTGTGGTTTTACCCTACAGTTAAGTCACATGCAAAGGGAAACCCCAACATGGGTCATGAGGTATAAGCAGAAACTAACTTCAAGTCTTCTCTTCATGCTTCAGAAGAGGAGCAGGAAACCTCAGGGGACTTTGGCAGTGGTGGCTCTGTGGTCCTGCTGGATGACCTCGAGGATGAACAGGAGCTGGAACCAAAGGACAAAGAGTGGAAGTTGAGGGTGCACACCCGAGCTGTGACGGAGGATGATGAGGATGAGGACGACGACAAAGAGGACGAGGTCGGGTACATATGGTAGTGCCCACAAGGAAGAGGACACAAGTTGTGCACAAAATTGCATCACTTCCTAGTCCTGCATTTGTATCTAAGACTCCAAGGCACCCAGGCCTCTTCTCCATTGTTGCTCTCTATACCCTACCTGAGGTTTGGAAGACAACTGCTGCTTGTTCCCAGAGCGTTCTGATTTCGCATACGGTTGTGTGGGAGAAAGGGTGTTGTGTTTTGGGTTTTTTGGGATTGGGGAATGGTTGGGACCTGAGGTTTGGAAGACAACTGCTGCTTGTTCCCAGAGCGTTCTGATTTCGTATACGGTTGTGTGGGAGAAAGGGTGTTGTGTTTTGGGTTTTTTGGGATTGGGGAATGGTTGGCTTAATTAGAGCCTCCTTCCCTCCCATGAGATTTTTGCAACAAGCATGTGATTTATGTGGAATTCTGACAGTACAGGGAGCCCCCACCCTCTTAAACGTCAAAGACCCTTTTTGATTACCCACACCGGTGGTTATCACAGCATGGTTCCCAGCCTTACAGTGTCTAAGTGCTTTTCTTGTGTCCTGTTAGATGTTGTGAAAAACACACCACACTATCTTTTTCCGCCTGCCCCCACCACTCCTGGTATTTATTATTTAAAAAATTAGGTTTTCACATCACTATAGCTGGCTTCCTACAAACACAGCCTTAATTCAGTCAAAAGTCCCTTTGGGGAATTCATTTTCTATATTAAAAATTGGTGTCTGGATGCTTCTTTCTGTACATGCATAAATATGTACAGAAGAGACTCTGTGTGTGTACAAACCTCTCAGATAAAGTATTTGGGTGTCTATTAAAAACTCATTTGAAAAACAATTATAAATTTGTCAGCTTGTCCAGACCTGGAACAAAAAATTTGTATCAAAGTCCTTTTTTGCACTAACAGTTGGCACTTGTAGCCTGCAGGCTGAGGAGGTTTCTTCTCTATGCATCAGCACAGTTGCTGGAAGCCTCTTTGATTTGGATAAGCCTCCGTCTGCATAAATTGCTTTTCTTGCAGAAGCCATGCACCTCCACGTGGGCAGCTTCACAAGCCATCTCTTTCATTTCTGCTCAAAGCTCCCTTGGGCTGCAGCCGTCCTGGTTGCCGCAGATTCCTCCCTCCCCTCCCTACTCAAGGGCTTCTTCTAAGGCATGCACACATCCCCCTTATTCTCTGAGAAGACAGTACCACAGTGTTCCTTAAGAGAAGAAAATTTAGGATTCTTAATGTTTTGCTTTTGCCCCCTTTCTATCCACAAATCTTGATGAGGATACAAAAGCTGTACAGATTTTTGGACCACCCATTATCTGCAAAGAATCTCAAATGGAGGCCTAGAAAGAACTTCACAGTAGCACAGGGAAGCTAGGATTGGGTTTTTAAGAGCTAGTTCTGCCCTACCCCCAACCCCTCCTCACAAGTGTTGAGTCACTGATGAAGAAATCCCTTCACCATTGCGTATCTGTTCCCTAAATGTGTTCTTGGAATCTAGTTCCGAATTCAGTAGGGTCATCATCTCTACATTCTTTAGGATTTCTCTCCCTATCAAGCAGGCCCAGATACAAGTACCAAAGCGTAGTTTTCAAAGTGGCCCCATCCAGTTCAGTAGTGGTCCTTAAGCTCCTGCCTCACCTGGTTTCCACCTACCAGATGTCCTAATCAGCCACCCAAACAAGGCTCTCTGGCCCACATTTCTGTCTCTTGCTTTCCCCATGAGCTTCAGCCAGTCTACAAGAAGAACACATATTCAGGCAAAAGATATATTCAGTTAAACCACGATCACGGAGGTAGCTGGCCTCCATGACCTAAATTGACCATTTGGCCTCTGACCTAAATTGACCATTTGTATGTACCAACCCATCTCAAAATAGCATTTCCAATCCTTGCATTGGCTCGTCAAAGCAGCATTATCCCTAGAGTTGGTGTCAGATGGGAAATGAATATACTGGATGTAGCTAACTCCTTTGGCCTGGTAGACATGAGCAGAACCAGAAGCCTGAGGTTTGGACTTAACTTTCTCAAGAAGGAGACCACAGGCAAACTCTGTATTGGGATCTCAACTCCATCACCTCTGTTTCCATATTTTTTTTTTCCTCACTCGAACAAAACTTTGAGATCATAATTTAGAGAACAGGTGCTTAATTGCAGCTACATTACAATAAAGTGTAAAAAAAATTAAGACATATTAAAAAATCTCAATTTAAACCAAAGAAGACCATTGTTACCATCTCCTCTGAGCTTGGAAAAATGTACAGGAGAAATTAAAATCGACAAATTGATTTCACTTAGAAGAATTTCTAGGAGCAGAGTGAACCACTGATTTTAATTTGCCTAATTATCTTATGAGAAGTGTCAAATTAAGATGACACTTACAGATCCTTAGCATTAACTTAATGCTGGAGAAAAGTGCTTAATACACACTTCCCACTAAGGGAGTGAGATGCCATTTTCAGAGGTGTTCCAAGAAGATATTTTGATTCATTAATATATTAAATAAAAAGCTCTCCTAAGACTGGAGCCCAAAATCAATATAGCAACATTAATACCATTTTTCATGCCTGACTTTGACATGACTGCACTAGGTTTTTCAAAGGTCTTTATGCTTTCCACGAGTACTAAAGATTAGATTTTGAGTTACCTTATCCTTAAAAGTAGAATATTTATTTTCCTCTTTTTGGCAGGAGCTCCTTAGTTACAATGACCAAGTATACATAAAAGATTGATTTTAAAAAGATAGAATTGTGATAATCCAATCCCTTGTCTAAAACAGGTATTGAAATGAATCCTCACTAACTCATTTTTGAAAACTCAGTGAATAGTTTTATTCTGTAAATCATTCTTTTATTTAATACCATTTCCTTGGCATCCAACTTAAGTCCTAGAATTTTCTTCCACCATGGTTAGTTGTCTGCCATATAAATGTTTTTATTTCTACAGATATTCTAGGCATGGGAATACCTTAATACTGAATTTGAGGTGTTGTTTTTTTTTTTAAAATCAGTTTTCCCTTCTTTATGCCCATTTCCCTACACCCAGCATCAAATGACAATGTGTCCAGATCTGCTCCTCTGCTTTTCCCAGGATGATGCCATTCATGTATGTTTTGGCTTTGCTTTTTTTTTTTTTTTTTTTACCTTGACCACACTGTACAGTAACATCCAAGAGCCCTTTCTGTAGTGGGTGGTTTTGGTCTTTTTATACCTTTTTCTCAGTCACTGATGTTTGTTCCTGTTAAATGTGTAGCATTGTAATGACAGCCCATCAAATCCAGAGTGTCAGTTCATTGTCCCTATTGTAGATGAAATAGTGATGTAGAAAAACCTAGTAAATTCTGAATGCTTTTCCACGTAGACTTATCTGGAATGTGAACACGACTCTTTGGTTAATAGTTAATGCTTAACTGTAGTCCTGAGTAGGTGCATTTCTGTCTGTCTCAATAAATTTTACTTTGTCTGCAATATCTGAGCGTTCGTATTGTGTTGGCTTGGGTGTGAACTCACCGGGCCATGTCCCACACACAGTCACTGGAGAACAGGATGGGCAGAGGAGGGGGACTGCCAGTGAGGCCCTCAATCAAGACTTCTGGACATGGGAGAGAGGTCGAGCTGCTGGAGGCCTGGCCTCTCGGGACACCCTGCACCTGCTCAGTCTAGGTCCAGCCCACCTGACTCCTCATTTAGCTGCTTTTGCTTCTCTCAAGCTCCAACTATATTCCTTACCCACCAGATCTCACTATTACCATCCTATTTACAACCTTAAACTTTCTCAACTTTGTTTATTCCTTCTTTCCCCAGCCAATTCTCCAATTCTCCTGGAAAACAAAAACAACAACAAAACATCCACCTCTCTCCCCTTTACAAAAAGCCTGAGTTCTCCCCTGTTCATGCTTGTCAAACATCAGAAAGCACCCAAATTGGAACAGGAATTATTTCCTTCCATCTTTACCTACACTTGGGCCAGTGTGTCTTTGACTTAATTATACCCTGAGTGAGTAATTTCACCATGAGCTGAAGTAGAAACTATCTAATGAATAATTCCATTCTTTCACCCTGTGGACTAGATTTTATAGACAATTTGCAGATTGACAGTTCAAGAAAAGGTGCTTCATAAATCCACAGAATAACTAATGTCAGATGAACAATGGCCAATATGAAGCCTCTGAAGTAGTAAAGCATACATTAAAGAGTTGTTGGCATTTCTGGACATACTCCAAATTCCTCTCAGATCAGCAGTTTTACAGGTAAAACCCCAAATTTCTCCTAAAGTTACACCTTGGCCCTTTAAGGGCCAGGACCTAAGAAGGAGAACAGGAAGCCAGTTCTCCAGCTTTGGTTATGCAGCAGAGTAAAGAGGTCACAGTACAAGAGTATTTTTTTAAAAGTTCGTGGAAAAATAGAGTTGAAAGATAACATGAATCTTTTCTTGAACTTTTTCAAGTACTCTCAAACTTTCTCAAAATTCCTAGTCATAAGATTTGCTTTGACATATTGATTCAAGATAAGAGCAAGATTTTAAAATTTGTTCATTCGACAAGCCTTTGTAGATAAATGTCGGTTCCTCTCCACCGGAGACCAATAACAGGGCGGGAAGAGGACGCCGGACCAGCCGGCAACAACCTCTTGTGGGGCTGAGCGGGATGATGAGTGTCGCTGGCCCGATCCCCTCTGCACTT